GGCCTGCTGCAATCAGTTTGCAAAGCAGAGGACTCCCACTACTGAGTAAGCAGTGCCAGCCACCTCCAGGTCACAGCCTGCAAGAGCAAGGATATGAATTCTGGGGACAGAAGCAGGGCCAGAAGGGAGAGCAATGCACAACCCATTTACAAACCATTTACAGGGGTGTGCTGCCCTTTGTACAGCATCCCTTTGCCATCACGTGAAAACAATCAGAAATTGTACCTGGCATCCGCAGGCCACAGCCCTGTTCATCTCAGTAAGATCTTTAAGGGTTAATGGTTCCTGCTGTGCTCCGAGGAGTGTACTGTGGCTGCTCAGATGCCCCATGTATACATGTTTTTGTGTGTAAGCCTTCCAGAAGGTCTGGTCACCTAGCTAAGAAAGGTGCACTTGAGCACTGCCCACATAACCATGTACCCTTTTTCCTGTTTCATGTGCAGACACAGAATAGCTGTAATTCTCATATGTAATTTATTTTTAAGTACAGTGTATTGCTCCTTTCTGAAACTTTTTCCTTTTTCTTTCTTTTTTTGACAACTTTCTGCATTGGCAGAGCATCTTGGGATTGAATTTATGGGTATGGACCAATCATTCCTTTTAGCCTGCAGACTCTAGACCCTGAGAGATAAACCCCTTTTTATTTTTTTTTCTCCACTTCCCCTTTTCAATTCCTAACCAATTTCTCTATGCTTTAAAAGGGATCATACAGCTATAACAACAACCCTTGTTGAAGTGTTAGTGGAGATCATCAGTTCACTAAAATGGTAATGTCGATTGGATATTCCAGACTAAAGGAGTTCTAGGAATTACTGAAGTGATCATAATGCAGCGTACATTCCTTTTTCTGCTGTGTAGTTTTGACTAGTTTTGACATCTGCTTTAGGTGAGTTTTTCTCGGATTGCCAGGTTCTGGAAACACTGTAAGTGTTAAGCAAAAATGTCTAACTATTACATTAAAAGAGAGAAACTGTTACGGCCACGTAATTTTCTGCAAATTTGCAGTGCTGACCTCTGATTTTCAAGTAAAGTTTTATGTCCAAACCCACATCTAGGTGCTTACACATCATGTGTAAATCAGTTGCCTATACATATCTGTAAATGATATGCACATATACATTCCTTTCCAGGTCTGTAAATTCGAAGTGGACTGAAAGTTATTTGGGAATTTAAGTAGAAGTTTACAGCTAGACTCCAGATCCTCAAGTCAGCAAATATATTCAATATTTCTAAAACTAAACTCAACAAGAACATTGGCAGTGGATACTATTGTCACACTTCAGCTCTAAATTTATTAGAAATACCTTTCAAGTTTTATTCATTAATAGGTTGTACTTATCTGACTAGCTATTTGTATTCAGGGTTACAAATAATGCATTTCTTGAATAGGCTAATTTAAAATTCAGGTCAGTTTTAGTTTGGAATCTCCTGTAATTATTGGTTAATTTTAAAAAATTAAATTAAAAAAAAAAAAAAAGAAAAGAAAACAGATGGTGAGACAGCTTCAGTTCACATTCTTTTTAAAAATGCTCCCACAAAATGTCATTAGCTTAAGCTGTGGAAAGCCCTTTACAAGCCCAAATCTTAAAAATCTCTCACAACCCAGCTTATTTTTGTGTTTATTATTATTCTAAGTTAGCATTCATTCCCACTCATATGTATTAGATTGTAGTGGAAGATATATGGCTACATTAACATATGAGGAGTGAAATTAAAATCCTTTCAAAAACTGACATGAAAATTTTGCTTTATATACGAAATTACATCAGAACAACCTCTTGCAATTAAATTTTTTTAAAATCCCCAGAGACCTGTAAGACGAAAAACTTTAAAACAGAGCAAATTTAAGACCTCATATATCATCAGTCATATAGAAGTTAGAGCGATGTGAAATCAATTGCATAATATGCGTATTTGAAAGGCTGCCTATGTAATACCTTGACTTAAATCTTAAGTTGATTTGATTTTCCTAGCATTCTGTAGGGTAAAAAACTACTGAAATTATTTTTAGCACTTAAAAGGCTAAAATATTTCCTAAATTCTCACTGTTTATACAATTCTTTACAGACTTTCCTGCAAGGCTGCTATAAATTTTTTTCAAGATAGCTTAATAAGAATGTGTTATTTAACTGGGTGTCATTAACTGTCTCCATAAACAACACTGGGTCAGAGACAGAAGGCAGTTTTGGGGCTAGATGTAGTATAACCACAAGTGCCCCACAGGAGCTCTTTGCAAAACTCTTCTTGGCCTTAAACAGAGAGTCCAAGGCTTGTCTTTGAGGTACTATGCTATCTGCAGAGTCTTGACCAGGATCCCAGTCCTGTCCCAGCTGCCAGCATCCCCCATCACCCATGCTGGCCCCTGCAGAACAACACCAGGGCATCCCCCATTTGGCCCTGGCTGTCCCTTGTCAGGGGACAGGAGACAGGTTTACATGAGAGCTTGCTGGTTTGCTGGCCATGACATGCCCAGGTGCATTTGCTTTCCTAGGCAGACCTTGCCCCCAGAGTTTGAAGGAGGGCACGGCAGCACCATTCACACACACCCTGTCAGGCTGCATTGTCCTTAGGGCCTTGTTTCAAAGGGCACAGGAGGGAACTAAAGTAACAAAAGCAGATACAGATGCCATGCCCATCAAGAGCTATAGTCCCAGCAGGCTTGCTGGTGCTAGGAGCATTGCTCAGGGCTGCACCCACAGCCCTCCTCTTTCTCTGCATCCCCCATCTCCTGCAGTGAGTGAGCACCCAGAAAAGTCCCACATACAAGCAACAAGCCTCAGCCCACTGGCAAACTCAGTCAGGCCATCACCAGCCATCTGCCCAGCTCATTTGCAACAGTCTCAGCCTGCAGCAAACCTCCTGGAGTCAGTGCAATTTTTCCTTCAGTATAAAAATTGAGTAGAATGTCCACTGTTAATCTTCTGCTTCCTCTCCCTTGCACTCCAAAAAAAAAAAAGTGTGATATGTTATTATTCATTTTGCTTTCATAAGCTAACAGCTGACAGCATGACAATAAAAAATAATAATAATTCAATGCATTTCAAATTAGCCCCTAAATTGCTTAGCACAATTCTCCTGTTTCCTGTGACATCCTCGTAATACACCATTTCCATGGCTAACTAATAAGCGCTTTCAGAAGGGACAAAAGAGAGAAGGGGATCCAGTGCCACTAACTAGCTTAGGTGAGGAGTTATGCTGTATGAGAAATCCCTTCACATTCTGCTTCAACCTTTTTTTTGTCCCCAAGCATTTCTTCTCTCTCTTTTTTTCCAGTTCCAAGCATGCTGTGCCAGGCCTGTAGTTGACTTCTCTACCCTTTTTTCGTGTCTTTCCTTATATTTCACCTTCCTCTTTTTCTTTGTCATAGTTTGCTTTGGTTGGAGTTTCAGCCCTTTCTTTCTTCCTTTTTCTGAATTTCTGTTCTTGGAGTTATATTTATTTTTCTTTAATACATTTTTGCAGCATCCTAGTTTTACCACACTCACTTCTTCTCCCCCCTTCCCTCATCTTTGTTAATAATTAGTGCTATTAATTTTGTCTGACAGTGCTCATGACCTGTTTGCTGGTGTTTGATTTACAGTGGGTTTGGCTTGTAAGACAAACTTGTTCCATGATGTGGTGCATTGTATCGGAGAAATTAAGATTTATTTTTGCTCTTTGGTTTGTTGCATGGAGTATTTGCCACTTGCCCACAGCAACTTTGAAAGTTGAAGTTTGCTGCCTGTTCAGTAAGGAGTATTTTCCCCTGAACTGGTGTGTCATTCATGACAGCACATCATTTGGACAGAGACATATGGCACATTGTGCACCTCTGTATCAGCCAGATGCAAGTTCATTCCAGCAGGAATAGTGCTGGCATTTATCCCAAAGACAGTGCAAAGCTGTGCAGCTGTAATTCATTCATTTATTTTTAATCACCTGCTGGTATTCTGATTGTGGTCAATAGTGCAGATCACTATTGGTCTATCTGCTTAATCAAAAAAAGACTTGAATAAAGCTAGACATCCATTTTTGTCCTAGCAGCCAGGACACAAATCCACATCTGTAAAGCGTCAACACAGAATGTGCCTCTGTTTCAGAGCTCCTTATGTAACATTTCCCCAGCAGAGCACTCAGCTATGCTCTCTGCCAAGCATGAGCGAGGCTGGAAAGCATCAGTAGCTCCAGCCCAAACATTAGCAGTGCTACTAACACCTTTATAAAAGGGAAATATCTCAGATGAATGAGATGGGTAAGAAGTTGTCATCACTGAGCAAGCTGCCACCCCAGATAGGGACTTCCTTTGTTGGTCTCAAAGGGATACAAGTTAAAACTCTGCATTTCTCTCACACAAGGCACTGCTGGTTGTTGATATTGCTGTTTTAGGAGGAGCACTGGAGAAAGAATCTGAATTTTATGACCAGAGCTCAAACCTGTCTTCATTTCCATTGGTGATATAATTACAAGCCAAGCTCATGTCTCAAATATAGAAGAATATTTTGAAAATTCTCCTGTAAAGACAGCTGAAATATAAATTGGCATGGGACCAGAGGGATATTGGATATGAAAACAATCAAAAAAAAAAAAAAGAAAATAAATTTCTCATAAGACCTGTAAAAATGTCTTTCATTCCAGCTGTCTTTACAAAACTTCCAAAGCATTTGCAAATTCATGTTATTACCACACTGCATTTTTATTTTCAGCAAATGCTGTATTTGTCCACTATGAAGTTGTTTCTTAGATATTATTCTTGTTGGCTTAAAAAAAAAAAGAAAAAAAGAAAAAAATACTTTTGACTGTAATTCTATAATTGTTCTCATCCTCAGTATTGTGTTAATAATTTGTGGTGTAGTCCTGTTCTCCTTGCAGTCAATAATGAGTCTGCCTGAAGTGTGGTGGCTGTGTCTCAGTGTGGCTGTGTGAATCTGTGCAGTGGTTTGTAGCATGACAGCTGTGGACTGTGTGCTCCCTGCCTGGCCATCCTCCATGTTGTGACTTTCTCTGTTTTTGTCCTTTTCTAGAAGCTGAGGAACTGTACCAGAAACGGGTGCTGACCATAACTGGCATTTGCATTGCTCTTCTAGTAGTTGGCATCATGTGTGTGGTGGCCTACTGCAAAACCAAGTAAACTTTTCTCTTCTATTTCTTATCTGTGGTTATTGGTCAGGGCCTTTCAAGATGACTGTAGCTTCTCTGGCTGTATCTGGGTTTCCCTAGAAGTGAGCTTAAGAGACGAACTTGTGATCAGGGTGCCCTGGTCCAAGCCAGATGAATGTGGGTCCCCAAGTCCATCAGCAGTGCAAAACTAAGACAGCAATCTGAAAGATTTCTTAGTCTTCAAATGTAATTTGCAATTTTTTGTCCTTTTTTGGTTGCTTTCTTTTCTATCACCCATTTCAGCTGGTTTCCCCAGTTGAAAAGGAACAAACTCTAATATTGGAATCATGTTGCTTTCCAGCAGTAAATTTTATATATAAGACTAATTTGTTTGTACTTGAGACGCAATTAATGATGCTAAAAGTTACTATACACCAAAGGGCAAAAAACTGAACACAAAAGTGCTCTCAATGCAAAAGTAGGCATTTAAATACATTCTGTGAGTCTCTGACTTACTGGGGGTGACTCTCAAACATGCATGAGGCACTCTGGACCATAAATTACACAGAACATCAGCAGAATTTCTGCTGCCAAAACTTCTGGCTGCCCTTATAAATCTCCCCACCAAAACATAGAAAACCCTTATCATAAATATTCCACGTTTGTATAAACCTGATTTACTGTTTCAAGGCCTGATTGGCAGTTGGACTGTTGGTCTATGTTGTAAGCCCCATGAATAATGGATGTGTTAAAGATGGGGGAGGAGGAAGATAATTTGTCCCTCTCAGTGAGAGTCCAGACACATACACACAACTGCTCCCACCCATAACCTTGTGCCAGTGGTCAGTGGGGAACAACTGAAATGGTAATAAAAATTCAGATCAATTACTACTTTTAGAAATCACATCCCCATGTATTTCAACAGACATTTAGTCAGGATCCCGAAGTATGGTTTTCTGTATAAAGAGCCTGCAGAATCCATCAGGGGTCTGGATCCTTTTTTTGCCCCAGACATCAGCAGTCACTGTGAACCAAAAGTTAGATGTTTTCAAAACCAGTTGATGACAGAGCCATGCCAGGACATGGCCCTCCAAATGCAGCAGTGAGACCATACTGGTATCTGTGAGGTGATTTGCATATACTCTTTTTCCTAAACTGGGGAAAACTCAGAAACGAGGAGAAATCTTGAAATGGTGTTGGGAGAGCAAGCAATGTAATAGGTTAGATTTTGTTGGTTTTCTTGCAAGAAATACTGCTGATAAATTGCCAAGGCAATGTCTTCAGACACTGAGTCTTAATTCAGAGGCACTTTATTTGCAAATCATTTGCATGAAGATAAAAGTACATGTACTTCTTAAGTACAATGCTGGCCTTCCCATTATTCTTTACTCTCAGTTTTGTGGAGTAATTTCATTTTTTAGTTAGCGTCCTTTTACTACAGGACAAACAGCACAGATAAAGGCATGCAAATTCAAATACACTGGTCACCAAAGGTGGGAAGATATGCAGCTTTTTAGGGATAGATTCCTGGGTTACATGTGCCAGGATTTCAGTCCTGTAGATGACAAACTCAAACTCCTTCTAGAGCTCACTTTCTCTACCACGTTAAGGAATTCAGATTGTTCTCAGCTCCCAGGGTGTCCAGAGCCTTATGAAGGGGAGCTGTGAAATCAAGTTAAAACCTTGCTTGAGTGCTGCTTCTCAGCCCAGCAGGTCTTTAGGTAGCTCAAATGTCTTCTGGTGCTATGCTCTCTATATACCTTAACTGCTTACATGTCCTAAGATGATTATCCTGGTTATCCTCAAAGCATAAAGTGCACATGAACTACAGACTGTATCCTTCTGAGACAGGAGCACTTCCAAGACAGATGTATCTGTGTGTGCCATTCATGTGATGTGATACAAATTAAGCCTTTTCCACTATCCAGGCACATACATAGAGAGAAAATTTGTAAAATGCTGTGTGTCAAGTCATGTTTTCTTTGTCTTTAAGCTTTCATGACTATCAAGCATCAACATATTTATTGCCCCAATCACTCCTCCTTTTTTGTAAAGCTTGGAATTGTCCCCTTGAGTACAAAACAGAATTGAAAATAGTTATCTCTTACACTATCCTACCTTGCCATCACTATCTGCACTTCTGCATATGGCTTAGTATGTATTTTAGCTTTTGCCACAAACCAAAGTCATATGCATTCCAGAGTGTGTTGGAGCCTGCATCCTCCCTTCACTGGGTTCTATGACAGTATGGTGGAAGTTCTCCAGTATTATGAGAGAAAACTGGGTAATATTTATAAACTAAGTCTGAATTAGAATAGCCCTATCTCTGATTATTTATTTTGGTATTTTATTTAGCATGTTCTGCATAGCCAGGTTTTATTATGCTGTAAGTTTTGCTGCTGACAGCTTGTAATGATCTTCTGAGGAGTTCTTCTCAGGAGAGCTGGAAGGATTACAGAATCATAGAATCATTTAGGTTAGAAAAGACCTTTGAGATTTGGAGTTGGACCATTGCGTCCAGCTTTTGACTGAGCACCACCTTATCAACTAGACCACGGCACTAAATGTCATGATCAGTCATTTTTTGAACACCCCGGGGGAGAGTGACTCCACTACCCCTCTGGGTAGTCCATTCCAATGCTTAATATAATAACCCTTTAGGTGAAGAGAGTCCTGCTGATATCCAACCTGAATCTCTGCTTGCAGTTTGATGCCATTTCTTCTTGTCCTGTTGCTATTTGCCTGGGAGAAAAGGCCAACCCCCACCTGGCTACAACCTCCTCTCAGGAGTTGTAAAGTGTGATAAGGTCATCCCTGAGCTTCCTTTTCTCCAGGCGGAACAACCCCTGCTCCCACAGCCACTCCTCATAGGACTTACATGTTGTTAGCAAGACAAGAAACAGCAGAAGAATCAAAGTCAGTCAGCGATCATGTCATTAGTACATGGGTAGTTCTACTAAATTCATTAGCAGCCATGGCATCCACCTGGTAATCATTAGGCTTCACAGCAAGTCTGATGTTGCTGAAACGAAATCTTCCAGAGCTGCCAGGAAGTCTGCAGGCTCAGGCCTAGCCCATGTACTCGCACTTTGGATTTCTGAGGCTTCCTCTGCATTCTTCTTTAACACATTTATGTATGTGAAGTACACTGCTGAGGTAGGGGGTGAATCCCACCAAACAAATGTGCAACTGCCACATCACAAAAACCACGTTCCAGTGACTGCAGGCAAGCCTTGAGGCGCAGACACCTCGGCTCCCTGTGGTGAACGGAGAGGTGTAACTCGATGGGCTGTCAGAAACTTTGCTTTGGCCCTTGTGAGGGTGTCAAGGTGTCTGGGCTAAAATCTCTTCCCCCTCCCTTCTGAGTGCAGAAAAGAGCTCCTCCTGAGACAGAGCATTGCTTAGAAATGGCTTTCCTTTCCCTCTCATTTATTCCTGTCCCCCTGTGTCCTGCTGACTCCTGGAAGGGATCCCAAATATCCTTCCCCCTGTGCAGGTCCCCACAGTTCCAGCTGCAATTAGACCTGTGGTTTTCAGAGTTACTCTGAGCTCTAGCAGCAGTGGAGAAAATTCTGGCAAAAAAGTGATGTTATATTATTATCACCAACATCAATATGCTGGAAGGTGCAGCTGCTTTCCTTTTGTCTGTTAAAATTGTTTCCGTGTTTCGTGCACAGGAAGCAGAGGAAAAAGTTGCATGACCGCCTTCGGCAGAGCCTGCGCTCGGAGAGGAACAACGTGATGAACATGGCCAACGGGCCACACCACCCCAACCCCGCACCCGACAACGTCCAGCTCGTGAATGTAGGTGCCACTGCATGGCTCAGCCTAGGCTGACAGTGACACAGGAAAGCCCGCAGCTTTTAAACATTTACCTGCTGGAGGCTGGTGACTGATTTCTCTTGGCCCTCTCCACACAGAAAAAAATTGCTATTGCAAGCTGCTGCCGTCTTCTCCATCAGAGAATAGTATTTTTGGTGTATCTGATGGTAATGGGAGGTTGCTTTTCCACACGTCTGTCTATTGGGAGTTCTCATTCCCTTGTTAAATACATTTTTATAGCTTGATTGGAATGCAGACCTTTTCTACGTTCCTCATTTGTTTCCTCCTGTTTTGAGTCTAGATGGGCTATGTACACAGAGGTGAACATGAATATGCTCAAATGTGTCAGTATGGTTTCTACATGTATTTAAGTGACAAAATTTGTGTTTTGGCACATGTAAAAGGCTGAAATCTGGGAAGGGGGATTGGGAATTATGTCTACAAATGTGCTGTGAATTACAGTTTGTAAACCTGAGCTTTGTCTGGGTTTTTTCAGCAGTACGTTTCGAAAAATGTAATCTCCAGTGAGCATGTCATCGAGCGAGAAACAGAGACCTCATTTTCCACAAGCCACTACACCTCAACAACACATCACTCCGTGACAGTCACCCAGACACCTAGCCACAGGTACTGGAGGAAGAAAGCAAATAGCAGCTGTAATATCTGATCTGTTGCTTTTGCAAAACCAAAGAGATTTGTTAAACAACAAACCAGGGAAGATCTATGCTCCCTTTATAGTGTTTTCATTTTAAGAGTAACAATATTTGATGTCATATCACCAAATTATCTTCCCAGGATTTTACAAAGACCTTTATTATCCGAATGGCATTCCAATACTGTCACAGTGAACTTTAGTATATGCAAATTGCTAAATCAGTGACAGTTCCGATGACTGGAAAGCCCTCCTTCCCTTTCCTTTTATCCATGCATGCAAAATCACCTTGGTGCCTGTAGATTCATACAATTTGCTAAACTCTGCAGCTCCAGTTATTAACCCAAAGGTTTTGCTTCAGATTCTGAGTGGCAACAGAGCCCCTCCTTTCCCTGGCTAAACTTCGGCTCACACACATTTGCCACCAAAGCACTCTCTCACACTCCCCCTTTCTCTTTTCCTGGTTGCTGCTCTCCAGCTGGAGTAATGTCCACACTGAAAGCATCCTCTCTGAAAGCCACTCGGTGCTCGTCAGCTCCTCCATGGATAACAGCAGGCACACCAGCCCAGCAGGGCCCCGGGGCCGCCTCAATGGCATCGGCGGGCCACGGGAAGGCAACAGCTTCCTCCGGCACGCGAGAGAGACTCCCGACTCCTACCGAGACTCTCCTCACAGTGAAAGGTAGGACCCTCCACCTCATTGCTTTCAGCTGGCAAGAGTTTTACCAGATGGTTTCAAAGCTTGGGAGCACGGGAGAAAATGCGGCAGCATAGCTGTTCATATAGGTCATACATCTCCTTATTCATAAAGGTGGAGAGCTTAGTAGTAGTTTAAAGTCCACCAAAAAGCATTTCTTCCCTTATTGCCTCTGCTGGGTTTAGTCCTATTAGCCAGCAGTTCACACTTGGAAAAGCTCCATTGGAGTGATTTTAGTCAGAAATTTCCATTGTAAATTTCAAAGATAACTTTTACCTAATTTCTTAGAAGATGCAAGGGAGAAAACGAAGAGATTTTGCAGTGAGAAAGTAATGTATTGATGCACAGGAGGAGGGCGCTAAGGAGTCCTAAGCAGTATAGAAATTATGCCACCACCTACTTTCTGGAGTTTTCCAGCTCCTAAACCCTTTAAAAACTCCCCTTAACCCTTTATTAAATAAAAGCAAGGAACACAAAGTGCAATTCAGGAGGACTCATGTCATTATTAAATCAGGAATAGTTATAAATAAAACTGGCCAGGAGTTTTCCAACCAATTTTTCTCTGGAAAGGCTGGTTCATCAGTTCCTAAGGTGTGCCTAGAAGTACATCAGTTGCAAAAAAAATTTTACTGAAAAAATTCTTCTCAGTTTTAGGCTAGCATTTTACTTCAAGATGGCCCCAGAATAGCAAAAGAAAGACTGAGAAGAAACAAGACATTTAAAAAGAGCTTTCCTCCCAGCAATCATAGGCAGAAGAGAAGGAAAACAAAAGGTTATGGATCAATTCTCTGAGGACTTCGAAATCACTAGGGATTTGGCCTTGTGGAGTGTCCATGATGCCAAAAATGCAGCCAGGCAATCCCCAGGAGACCGAGTTGTATAGGAGACAAACTGTGGTTTTCAGAAAAATGGATGTGCAAGTACAGCAAACACCATTTCTGTGGTACTCCCTCTGCCACACAACCAACTGCTAAGCAGCAGGAAGAGGGTCCACTGAGGAAGGACCCTGACTGTAGTACCACTAACGATAATAAACTAGCCCTCTCATTAAAAATTATGTGTTATTTACCATGGAATTTAATTTGAAGATACATGGCTCACATGACATAAACAGCCATGGCTCCAATCCAGCAGAGCACTTTGACAAGATTATCTTTTAATCGTGCAAGTAGGCCCACTGAAATCAGCAAGATTACTCACATGAGTAGAGCTCAGCATGTGCTTAAGTGCTTTGCTGGATCAGGACCTGTAACAGTAAATACCATGTTGTCTCCTGCCTGGGAACCGAGCAGGATGCACGACCACACGCCTGCCAGTGGTGAGTATTACAGCTGAGTATATTTGGGCATCTGCATGTGAGAAGTGAAGACTGTCTGCCTGCATTGCATGGGACACCCAAAGCATCATTCTAATGCGAGCTGTTCAGATTTAACCGGGAGGAGAGGTGTGGGCCGGGGGGGGAGGAGAGGGGAGAGCATATTCCTTTTTGTTTCTTTGAAAAGAGAGAAGGCATTTCATCAATTATTGTGTCTCTTGAAGGTTGTACTATAGGTCAAAAGCAGCAACATTTCTGTGATAATTCATCAGGCATTGACAGCCTAGTCTGTGCCTGAAGCAATTACAAATTTGGAACGTGGGAGATGATAGTTCCCTGGGCATTAATTGCAGGCCTCATCTATTTTTAGCAAGCAGGAAATACATGGCCAATTGTTCCTGAGATGGCTTGTGTGTATGTAAGGGAGAAAGTGAGAGTTATTTGGAACTAAAAATTACTGAGAAACATAAAGGAATGTAGGAGCTGACAAATTACTTCCTGAAGCCATCAAATGTTGCTGTACTGTGAATTGGTAGGCCAAGGCTGTACTCCCTCAATTTTCAAATTAAATTGAACAGACATTACAAGGGGTCCTTTTGCATTACCCCCTCCATTTGCTGGATCCCATGCCACCTGTGTACACAAGCAGAGGGCACAAGCAGTTTTATCTTGGATGTCCTTAGCTCTCTTACAGGAGAGAAGATCAAAAAACACTGTCTCTGCACAAAAGGCTGGACTACATGATGAAGCTGGCAGCATGTAACTAGTTAATGTGTGCTGGATGGCCACGGGTACACTCTGATCCCCTTTCACTGAGCCAGCATAGTTGGCCATGAAGCTGGATGAATCAATCACCTTTTAACCTTCCTTTCAGGATGGGCTAGAGCTGCACGAGTTCAGCTCTTGAGCTTCAGATTGCAGACAGCAGCTAGTTAGCACTGCCCTGTTAGGGTGTGGGGGAATAGACCAGAAATGTGTGAATGCAAAACACTCCAGTATGAGTAACTTGACACTGTTGGAAGCCTGCACAGTACACTGAACACATTTAACCAACTTAATGCGTTAACAGAACCAGTTTAGCTGAATTCCAGTGTGTCACAAAGACGTATATCCAACAGTGTACTAGCTGGGAAAGTAGAAAGGCATCAGTTTTTCAAACAATGCCTATTAAAAATGTGAAAGGGATTAAAAGCTCACACATGGAAGGAGAAAAACTACTTAATTCATCCAATGCACAGACCTGTTCATTGCTCTTTTCTCAACCAACTTGATTAATTCCCATGCATAATTCTAGGCTTGTTTTTTCCCTTTCTCTTGCTCCTCAGTTGATGTAAATCAATGTGCAATCGATGCACCTCTATGGAAATCAATTTATACTACTGCGTGTCTGTCCAGAATCTGTCCTGTTTTCTCCTTTTTCCCACAGCTCCATTTTTATCAAGTGTAATATGTGCAACTGAGTCACAGATTGGATAAGAAAGCTGGATTCAGGTTTATTTCGGTAATTTCAGGCTCAGAAAAATAAGCCACTAATGGAAAACTAAATAACTGCATCGAACATAGACATGCAGCTTTTCTCAATGTGCCTGTGATGGAGCTTAGGACAATTTTAGCTTTATACACAGACAAAATTCAGGCAGGTGAATTTAGAATAAGAATAAAAGTAAAGCCAGACCATGCAAAGTGTCATGCTGGGCACTGTGCTTTTGATCCAGTGGTTTTAGGCAGATCCTCACCTGGCATGAATCCACATGATCTCATAGCATGTTGACTGATTAAAACTAGTTGAGAACTTCACATTTTTGGGGACAAACCCTGTAATGGCACCTGAGCTTAATTTTCAGAAATCACTTCTGATGACTACCCTTCCCACAGAATCAGGGACAAATTTTGCTGAGAAATCATGGGCACTAGGCCAGACAATCCTGTCTTTCAGCATTTGTTCCCAGAGGAGGACAAATGATACTCTGTGCTTCTTTGCAGATAGATCTACCAGCCAGAGTAGATCTATTTGCAAAGGGTAACTAGCACCCAAGGAGTAGAGCTGCACAAAGCTCCTGGGATGGTGCTTCAAATGCTTCTCTGATTACCCTTGGTGATTAAAATTAGCAGAATCTGGCTCGAGATTTTATCTAAACATTATTTTCCTCCCTAGACTGAGACAGTTTGGTTGCCAGAAGAGGGTGAAGCCCCAAGAGGACTGTCCTTCAGTTCCCTTCCTTTCTTTCCCCCGTCTGTTTGCATGTACCCCAGATTCTGGTCAAATCCTTCCAGAAGTGCAGCAGCTGTTTTCCTTTTGAGAAAATACTTGCAAATGCATTTTGTTTCTGGCAGCCTGTCTGTCTCTGAATCCCATTCCTGGACTCATTCCAGAAAGTTATTCTGGCAAAAAATTTACAGCATCTCCATAGCTGGGATCTGGGAGTTTTGCTGTGCTCCTCCTGCTTTCAAATATTTTTGTCCACAGTCCCAGAAGTCAGCAGTTTATAGGATTAGTAGGAACAGGAAAGGTTCCTTAGTAGCCCTGTGTGAGGATGCTGGGGATCCTAAGGGATCCCTGCCATTTCTCTCCTAGTCCACACGAGCTGCTGTGTTCAGAGGTCATCACTGCTCCTGTGCTCGCAACCTTTCCTCATTTCTTTTCTTCAGGTATGTCTCAGCTATGACCACACCAGCTCGCATGTCACCTGTTGATTTTCACACTCCAACTTCTCCCAAGTCCCGCCCCTCCACAATGTCACCACCGGCTTCCAGCTTGACCGTCTCCATCCCTTCAGTGGCAGTGAGTCCCTTCATAGAAGAGGAGCGACCACTGCTCCTGGTGACTCCTCTGCAGCTGCATGAGAAGTATGACCACCACCTTCAGCAATTCAACTCCTTTCACCACAAAGCCACCCATGAGAGCAACAGCCTGCCACCAAGTCCTCTGCGGATCGTGGAGGATGAGGAGTACGAGACCACACAGGAGTACGAACCAGCACAGGAGCCTCCAAAGAAACTCACCAACAGCCGGAGGGTCAAAAGAACAAAGCCCAATGGCCACATTTCCAGCAGGGTGGAAGTGGACTCTGACACAAGCTCTGAGAGCAGCAGCTCCGAGACCGAAACCGAAGATGAAAGAATAGGCGAGGATACACCATTCCTGAGCATCCCGAACCCCGGGGCAGCCAGTCTGGAGCCAGCCACCGCCTTCCGGCTGGCTGAAACCAGGACTAACCCGGCAAATCGCTTCTCCACTCCAGAAGAGTTACAAGCAAGGTTGTCCAGTGTGATAGCTAACCAAGACCCTATTGCTGTATAAAACATAAAACACATAGATTCACATGTAAAACTTTATTTTATATAATGAAGTATTCCACCTTTAAATTAAACAATTTATTTTATTTTAGCAATTCCGCTGATAGAAAACAGGAGGGGAAAAAACTTTTATAAATTAAATATACGTATGTACAAATGTGTTATGTGCCATATGTAGCAATTTTTTACAGTATTTCAAAAATGGGGAAAGATATCAATGGTGCCTTTATGTTATGTTAAGTTGAGAGCAAGTTTTGTACAGTTACAATGATGACTGTCCCATAGTATTTTGCAAAACCTTTTAGCCCTCAGTTGTCCTAGCTTTTTTGTGCACTGCATTATAATGACTGGATGTATGATTTGCAAGAATTGCCGAAGTCCCTCTGGTTGCTTGCTGTAGAGTCTCCAAATCAGAAAGCCCTGTAATGGCACTCCCACCCTATTCCACCAGAAAAACACACATATACACACACAGAGTCAGAAAGAAAAAAAAAAATTAAAAAAATATATAAAAAAGTAAAAAAAAAAAACAAAAAAACAAAAAAAGTTTCTTCTTTGAGAACTTTTATTTGCTTTCCGTATATGAGATGAATTTTGTCTGCTCTCTGCCAGCCAAAAGGTTTGCTTCTTTGAGCACTGGGATAATAGTAGATCCAACAGCATGCTACTATTAATTACAGCAGGATAACAAAAAACATACAAACAAAAAAAAAAGCCAACCTGCATTAAATAATGTTACTTATAGAAAGAAAGTAATACTGTGATTTTAAACCAAATATATTATTAATCAGAGGTCAGCTTGTAATCACTAGGAGCTGCCATTTCATTATTTTCCAGGTATTAATTGTTCTAGTTATCCCTTAGGAAATGGGTTTAAGTTAGCTGAAGCTTTGAACCCAATACTCTATTTAAGCAAAAAAAAAAAAAAAAAAAAAAAAAAAAAAAAAAAAAAAAAAAAAAAAAAAAAAAAAAAAAAAAAAAAAAAAAAAT